GATGCTGGAAGCGACCACTGCGACTCGAGGGCAGCCGTGAGCTCGGGGCTGCTGGACAGGTACTCGCACTTCTTCATGTGCACTGGGAGCCCGGGTTCGCCGAAAAAACCGAGAGTGCGCTGCACCGCTGCAGGGAGCTGGGCCGACACCAGCTTGCGAGGGCCGAAGCACTGGAGAGTCACGTCGTCGACGACGTTTCTTACCTGCACCTGGGGCCTGCCGTGAACCACCGAGGTGAGAGGGCCGACCAACAGAAGTTTAGCCAACGTCGTGGCCGCCGAACGCCTTGGTATGATCGCCCCCGTCGCCTGGACAAAATCGGAAATCGCCCCGTCGAATAGCAAACTCTTGAATCCCGAGTACACCGCCACCAAACCCCTCAGGAGCTTCAAGTTGAATCCAAACGCCACGCGGTATTGTGCGGCGGGTGCCCCAAAGCGTCCGCGGGTCGAAGGAGAGGTCTGGGAGAGCCCCACGGGACCCTGCGAAGTTTCGGCGGCGAGCGAGGGGGGGCAATGAGAAAGGAAAAGCCTTCTCAGAAAGCGGCGGAGCTTTTCAGAGGGCCTCCGGCTTCTGAGGAGCTCTCGTCTGCGTCTTCGGGGAAAGCTGAGAACACGTCTCTCGGAAGGCTGGGGGCATTCCGAGCCTTCAGAGAAGGCCCGCCCCTTCTCACTCCCCCCCGCCTCGCTCGCCGCCGAAACTTGGCTTTTCGGATGCCCGAAACGAATACGGACAACGCTGGGCACAACGCCGAACAACAAATGTTGTCCCGAACCGACAGCGGCCGCTGTCGGGCAGGCGGCTTCGTGTCTTCAATGTGCAATTTGCGCGGCGGCGCGGACAGCGAGTCCTGTTCAAAATGAGCAGGGCATGCTGTAGGATATCGTACAGTCGACCCGCATCATAAGGATGCACGATAAGGATGCAAGGGCCTTAGAAGGCCACGTCGAAGCTTTTCGAGCGGAACGCGGCCAACGGGAGTGGCCAAGGATGGACCGAGGAGGCAAGGATGCCAGGGTACCCTTAGGAAGGTTGCCCATCCTTACTATGTGGGTTAACTTTACCCATTCCTTCCGTACCCATGTCGATCGTCCCGAGCCTCTCCCTCTCGGAACTCCGCTGAGCTTGGGAGACTCGTGGGCGGCCAACAAGGGGGGCGTCCAAGAGGGGGGGGGGCGCAAATCATGGCTGGCGGCATGTGCGCGGCCCAGGAGGGGGGGGCCGGGGATGCATTGAAGTAAGAAGAAACGCCGTCAGATCTGGGGAGATCTCATGGCCCCCGCAATGAGATCCATCCCCCCTAGTCATCACCCCCCTCTTGCCCGTCGGGGGCGCGCAAACATGGATTAGCGATCCATGGATTTGGCGCGCGGTCGCCAAATCCATGGATCGGGGGAGGCGCCCTCCTCAAAATGCGGCCGGTGCCGCCTCGTTCGGCGGCGGACACCCGCGGTGTCCCATGGAAACGGGACCCGTCGCTAATCCACGCTCCCTTGATCCATGCTTGCGATCGCCCCCGGCCATGTCCATCGTCCCGAGCCTCTCCCCCTCGGAGCTCCGCCGGGCTTGGGAGAAGGTGGGGTGCTCGGGGCCCCCTGCCCCTGCGGAGGGAGGTCGCGGGCGCGCGGGGGGGCCCTGCGCCCGGGTGGCGGGGCGTCTCGGCCTGGGACGACGTTCGGGCTCACGACCCTCGTCGACGATTCTCGGGTTGGAAGTTCCCCTCGCGTTATGGAAGGGGCCCAGGTACACACAAATTATCAAACACACACACACACACACATCCCAGGATCCCCAAGATTCTCCCATACATTCTGGGTATCCGACTTCCCCCCCACTTGCCGTTCTGTAACTTTTTTTCCCTTCTGAGTTGTGTTGTTCCCATCGTACTTAAGAACTGCATCCCGAAAGTAATTTCGAGCACCCAGTAAAGGTATCGTGTCAGTGCCTGCCCGACACGCTGGCGAAGTGCCGAGCGAGTATCGTCTCCCAGGGCCCGACACGTGACAACCCTCCAGTTTCGGAACTTTCTTGGTGCTCGAAATTCTTTCTGGTGAACAAGGCTAAAATAGGTTGGAACATCAGAACCCTCGCGTCGGTTTCCCCTTCGCTGCTAAAACAACTTCTGAGGTTTGCGGCTTTGCGCTCCCATGAGCGAGGTCTACGGATACTGTCTTTGCGTCAAGAAGCGTTTGCCTTTGTGTTTGATGATTTGTTGTCTTAGGTGCGCTTACTAATGCGATGGTGTCTTCCAAATTCAGCGCGTGGGCCAAGAGCTGCATCCGTGGGCTTGCTTCTCAAACATCCTGGGCGAACGTGAGAGCGGCAGAGAACGGGTATCAACTACCCAACCTCCTCTGCCCCATGTGGGTGACGGCCCGGGACACTTGTTTTCATTGTATGTCGTGCTGTCATCATCCAACCTGTCCAGCCCAGCGCCAAGATATTCTGGGCTATGATGTTCCATTCGAGCCCGCAGCCTGGGAGGAGCTCAACGAGCACGACCAAGTGCTGTACAATGACCTCATGGTTTATCATCCTGGCGACATCTTCCCTGTCCCACGCGTGCGAAGCGAGCCGACATGACTACTTGGCTCAAGGCAAGGTTTTCATGAACGGGTCCTGCATCAGATCAGTCGCTCCAGAACTTTCGCGGACGGGGTGGGCGTATGTGTGTCTCCGATTCTGGGCAGGAAACGGGTCATGTATACGCGCCTCTCTGGCATGAGCTGGGTTCGCCGGCGCTGGTCTCGCCAGCACTGGTTTCGCCCGGCTGGTTTCGCCGACGGCTGGTTTCGCTGGCGCTGGTTTCGCCGGCGCTGGTTTCGCCCCGCTGGTTTGGCCCCGCTGGTCTCGCCGGCGGCTGGTTGCGTCATGGCTGGTTTCTCCGGCGGCTGGTTTCATCGACGCTGGTTTGACCGACGCCCTCGTGGCCGTCGCCGTCGCCGTCGCCGCCGCCATCGTCGTCGTCGTCGACGTCGACGTCGTCGTGGTTGTGGTCGTCGTCGGGCGTCGTGCGTAGTCGGGCCGGGTCGGGTCCGGTCCGGTTGAACGGACCCTGGCGGGCGGGTCGGTCGGGCGGGCGGGACATTAAAATGTGGGGCGCGCTCGACCGAGCACGCGCGAATCCTAGAGGCAGGTCGGGTCGGGCGGGCGGACCCTAGCGGAATGGTCGGGTCTGGTCCAGCGGGCGGACCCTAACGTGAGGGTTGGGTCTTGCGGGCGGGACATTCAAGTGTGGGGCACGCTCGACCGAACACGCGCGAACCCTAACGGCCAGGTCGGGCGGGCGGACCCTAGCGGGCAGGTCGGGTCGGGTTGGGCGGGCGGACCCTGACGGGCGGGTCGGGTCGGGCGGGCGGGACAATAAAAAATGGGGCACGCTCGATTGAATACGAGCGAACCCTAACAGGCGGGTCGGGTCGGGCGGAAACTGCGGGCGGACCCTAGCGGAAGGGTCGGGTCGGGCCGGGCCGGGCGGGCGGGCCCTAACAGGCGGGTCGGGTCGGGCGGGCGGGACTCTGAAGTGTGGTGCAGGCTCGACCGAGCACGCGCGGGACCCTAGCGGAAGGGTCGGGTCGGGCCCGGCGGGCGGACCCTAACAGGCGGGTCGGGTCGGGCGGTGTCCACGGCTGCTTGTCAGAATGCCCTGGAAGGTTCGGAAGGTGTCAGCGATTGTCAGAGTGCTGTTGAGGTGTAGGCCTCACATCGCAGCGAACACTTGCCTATCAAGGGAGTGCATGCAGGCATGCATGTGTGGATTACTGACTCTAAGATGGGTTAGGTACACAAGCTTAGGGGCCACATGCCTGCTGCTCAGGCCAAGGGCAACTCTCACCGTCAGTTCTGCGCTAAAACTCGGGAAGGACCCCTCGATGTCTCGAATGTTTTCTGTTTGGGCTGCCAGATTGCTCCCGATGTGGCCTCCGCGCGGCCTTTCTCAGGCCCCCAGAGCCCCTCGGGAGCTACCTGCCCGCGTTTCCACGGTCCGCCACTCCTGGGTGTGAAGGGGCAAGCTCTGCCAGTGCAAAGCAATGTTTGAGGGCGACGCGGTCGCGCTGCCCCCCCCCCCCCCAGCAGTAACTGTAGCAAAACGCACAAGCTGTGTGACGCCAGGCTGATTGGGCTCGGCCACAAGAACATTGCGTGGTCCTGCTATCGCGGCACCGCCCTGTGCATCTGCGTAAAGTGCAAGAGCTTTTCGACGGGGGGGGGGCCTGCGTGGTATCGCAATTGTAAGTGCAACCAGGAGCCGCTGTGCCCCCGATCGTCTGGAGATTCTTGGAACTGTACCTCTGCTGGTAAGCACCCGAAGAGCGATGCACCTTGGCTCGACGTGGATGCTCTCAGTATTGTACGGTTTTTCGGGTGGCGCCCGTTGGAGAGTAGTCTCCTGGCCTCAACCACGTGGGCAGTGCCTCGTCGTGTGGCTTGCAGGAATGCCTGACGACAGCGCAGCATGCATATCTTCTTGTGCTGCGAGCGCCCTGACGTGTCGTGCTCGACGGCTGCCTGGCTGGCCGCCTGGAGGACTACAGATGTTCATGGCAGAGCAATGCAACGGCAATGAGCTCCTCCTCCTCCTCCTCCTCCTCCTCCTCCTCTTCCTCCTCCTCCTCCTCCTCCTCCTCCTCCTCCTCGCCTTCCTCCTCCTCATTCTGTGCTCCCTACTCCTCCTCGACTTGGGCCACTCCCTCAACCTCGCGCGGGGCTCGGGCGGGTGTTCGCTCCCTTCGCGTAAGGAGAAGGAGGACAAGGGAAACTCGCGTTTCAAGAGCTGCGCGGCGCCTCTCCAGTCGCGAGGAGCCTGGAACACTCCGCGACGGAAGCCGCCACCAGCGGCGCCACGGTGCTCCTGCGAGCATGCACGTACTCGTCCAGGTCCCCGAGGGCCTCGGAGAGGCTCTGGCCCCTACACCGTGGGGCCGCCTCGAGCAGCCGGGCGGCCAGGCATCTCGCGTCGCCCATGGCGCATCCCGCGCCCCAGCCCAGCGTCGGTGGCATCAGGTGGGCCGCGTCGCCCAGCACCAGCGTCCTGCCGGAGGTCGTCCGCCAGTGGCCCAGGTCGTCCTTGTGGAAGGGCAGCCTCGGCATTAGGTCGGGTGTGTCCCCCTACAAACGGATTTTGGATGACAAATAGAAAGTGACCACGGAATACTCAAAATATACACATTCCCCCTGTAGAGGGACATGCCCGAAATACCCTTGACATGAAGGGCACGGGTCCTGTGGGAGACCAAGTCTTGGACCCCACGGCCTTCCCCAGGACCAACTGTTCGCCGCGAGTCCTTTTCTGACGGCCTCCGGGCCCGTGGACGGCCCTGGAGGGAACCGAACACAGCGAAAAACCTCAGGAACCGCCCCTCTCAATACCATTTTCCTTGAGGACCCGTTTCCCTCCAAAACGGAGGAATGCCTCAAGACCCGTTTCCCCCACGACCCGTTTGCTTCGTGGCGACAACCAGGCGTGGAGGCGCCCCAGCGACGGGTCGCGCGCCCGGGCCACATCGTCGACCAGCTCGCCCGCGGCAGCGCGCAGGCCATCCCCGCTGGTGAGGGGCACCGTTGTGGGTGGACTGGTGTAAACATCTATGACAATATCCATCCCACAAGCAGTTGAGGCAAGCACAATATACAAATGAAATGACATCTTTTTTTATCTCCGTACTCAAACCACACGTGCGTAGGTGCGTCCCCCCTCCCGCCCATTTCGTGAGCCACAGCGTTTGCGGGCGATAGGAATACTGCACGCAGCACGAGCGAGCGAGAGCAGCAACAGCAGAGATAATTCTTATCATCGTCCTAAAAATCACATCCGTGCCTACCTGATTCTCACGCAGGGAGGAGAAACGTTGCTCAATAATGCGTAGTAAATTCTGCAGCAAACATCTAGAATATTCAGGAATATTCTGGTCGATCAACACATCACATATTCATCTCTTTCACCGCCCATCGTTAACACATACTTCGTAGTGAATCTCACCGTTCTGAGCTGTCTTGATGATGCTGTATGCCATGTAGTTCTTGATGTTCGGGTCGAGGTTGTAGCTCCTGCTCTCGTCTGCGCCCAGCTTCAGGCAGTGGCCCAAGCAACTAGCGTAGTGCGTGTCCTTACTGTATATTGCTGCGAAGCTGTCGCCCATCGTACTTGCCACTCTTGATGTGCATCGGCCCCACTGTAGTCAGCCACTGCCTCATGCGAGCACTGTCTCCCAGGTCGATGTGTCCATCCTCTGTGGCCTCGCCGGCGTAAGTCTCCACCGCGGGCTCAGCCTTCAGTTGTAGCGTAGCTGTCTTGGGTTTCGCCGGCTGGCTGGACAATTCCGCCCTGAAAAAGTTGTCGCTGCTTGAACTATCCACCGCCGTCAGTTCCATGCCGGAGTCCTCGTCGTCGCTCTGCTTAGGCTGCATATGTAGATGAACATGATGATCCCCGCGATGAAAGAGACTAATGTCACCACCGTAGGAGACGTCGAGAGACCAACTCCATGCACTGCGAGTGCACACAATTGATGCAGAACTGCAACTTGGTCAGGTATCTGGATGGTTCGCTGCGCGCCATTCCTTTCCACTGGATAGCTGTCCGTCGCATCGTCCATGTAGAATGCTTCGACATGCTCGGTCTCGTCATAAGTCTCGTGCTTCACGTCGTAGAAACACTCGCCCACGTAGTTGTGCGCTTCCGCCGGCCAGGTAGATATCTCATCGCCCCCCTCGGTGTCGCCGTGCAACTCCTGCTTGGCGTACTTGGCCGTCTTCGCGTTCAGGTCGTCGACCTCCTTGTTGGCCGCTACCTTCTCTGGTCCAACTAGTTCCCGTCCGCGCATTGATGGCGCTCTGTCATCAGGCCCAAGAGTCCACAAGTTGGGTACCACAATCTTCCTCGCGTAGCCTCCTGGAATCACTTTCGTCGAACAGGCCGCTAGCATCTGCTCGCCCTTAACCCATTTGACACTGACCTCCTTGTGTGACTGACGTTGTATAGCCGCCTCTAGAGAAAGCCTCCCGTCGGTCATCCAGGCCTTCTCCTTTGTGATCGCTTCGCTCAGGCTCTTGCAGTCGATCGCCGAAATGGATTTCAGTGGGCAGGTGTCATGCGCGATCTCGACCGCGCCCATGTCTGGGTGCAGGATCTCCGCTAGGGCTGACCTTGTCCAACCCCGCATATCCACCGGATCTGCGCATGGGCATGCCTCCGCCGATCGAGTAGTAGATCGCAACGCGAGTTGAATATTTGAAGACTGCCACCCCATGCGATGCACCTTGTACTTGCTGCCTTGGTCATCGTTGACCTTCTCGCCACCTAACATAATGAAGCGTCCCCGCTGCGATCTGTGCTTCGACAGGTAGTCGGAAGCACTGTAGGTCACGTTGATCACCGTGGTCTTTCACAGGTTTAGGCCAGCTGGGAACTTAATCCATCTATTATCCCGCTTCTGGATTCTCCTGACAGCTGCGCCCCCGCCCTGTAGGCCCCTCACCGTCGAAGCTCCCAGCGTCGATGCCAATCGGGATGCCTCGAAAGCATCTTCGAAGAAAATCATTCGCGCAGCCCGCTGCGGTTGTCCAACCACCATTCGCAGTCCTCGATGTTCTGCAGGGGCAAGTGCACTGTCAGGTGCCTTGCCGCGCTCCCTGGAGATACGATCTTCTGCGTAAGCTTCGCGTGGGCCTCCATGGTGACGTGGATGATGCCGCCCTTGTCCTGTTGGTTGGCCTGGCCACGGGACGTCGCCTTCCCCTTCCTCGTGTACTTGGCCTCGCCGAAGTCGATCTCCTTCTGAAGGTCCTTCATGGTCTTGGCGCCCTCAGGGTAATCATGCTTGATGCCCATGAGGAAGTCGTTCACGTGTAGACACATGATCCCGGTGGTCGCGCTTCTCGCGTTGCGCCTTCAGGTCGCGGGCTCGAAGCTCAGGCCTTCCCGCCCAAGCTTCGCGAGCGTCTCGCGCAGCGCCGCGTGCCAAGCTCTTGCCGCTTCGTTGGTCCCGTAGATGCTCTTGTTAAGCTTCAGGGCTGCCTAGACGACTGGGATGGTGCACTTCCCAGGGTTCGTTAGGATCCCGAAGTAGAGCTCGCGCGCGATCGCCATGCCTTGTAGATAGGCCCCTTCACGTCTACGACGACTAGCTCCAAGTTGAGGCTTGATGCGACGCTGCGCAGAAGTAGCGTCATCTGTGCTGAGACTGTAGGAGAGTCTCGTCGTAGCTTGTCGTCGAACTCCTCCTCGTAGCCTCGTCCAAATATTCGCGCCTTCGGTTTCAAAGGTCGCAGGATCTTTGTCCGTCGAAACCACCTTGGAGCTTAGGATCTTGCCCATGTCTATCTTCTCAACCGCTGCTCCTGATATGTGGGTTACTGCATCGCGCTTGCACCGGGTGTTCCACAACTTCCCCACTGCGCCCTGCATCTTCTTCCACTTGGGCTTGTCGTCACCCAGCGTCTTTCTCCTGATGCTCGTTGGCTTTCGCCGGCTGGGCGCGCAACCGCTTGGCCACGAATGCTTCAACAATGAGCGTTGTCTCCGCCAGCTGCTTGACTGGTCCCGTTTGCCCCCCTGCACGCGTGGTGCACATGGGTGCATCGTCCGGCAGGAACTCCTTGAGCGTCGCGGGATGCTCCTGGCGCTTGATGCCTTGATGCTGGTCTGGCTGTCTTGCGCTCGATGTTGCCGCCCCTTGCTGATCTTGCGGCGCAGGCGTCGGTGCTGCTGCCGTCTCCTCTGCCTTCGTGCGCTCCCCCATGTGCCTCTGGATACTGGCAGGTACATGCAGTTGTGCTCGGTCTTCGTGAGCATCGTCCTTCTTGGTCTGCTTGAGCTTCAAGTCCTTCTTACCCGAATGCTTCTTGCCACCGCGTTTCACCTCCTCGGGCTGCTCCGGCCCCGCCGTGATCTCGTCAGTGTTGCAACCGCTTGGAGGTCCAGGCTATGAGGCTGCAGTGTGTTGGTTTTCCTTGCTCGATGTGATCTCCTCGATGGCCGCGATCGGTTGCTGCGCCACCGCGTCGTCGATGATCGGAGGGTTAACTACCCGGTCCACCCGCGAGATGTCTTGAGCCAGGTCTCGTGTGTCCAAATTGAACAGCCGCCCCCTCTCGATCTGATGCCCTGGTGCCGAATTGGGTAGTAGAGGTGCATCCTGAGGTTGTCCAGCTGCCTTAGGTCGGTCTTGCCCTGGCGGCCGGATTCCACTTCTCCCGGGATGGTGCCCCAACCTTGGTGTGATCGACGTTGTCGCGCTCGTAAATCCTTCTCTGCTTGATCTTGGTCAGTTGGTACTGGTTCGTACTGATCGTCCAGCCTCTGACGCATCGGAATCACGTAATTGTCGTGTACCATATCCGATCGTCTCTTTCTGCTGTCCGTTTGCTTCGGATGCCCCGCGCCACCATGAGCTGGCGCTGCTTCTGGTGCGTCTGGTTGCCCTTGCACTGGCTGCTGTTGTGGGACATCCTGCTGTCCAGGTAGCTGCTGATGAGGTTATTGCTGCCGTTCTGGAGGCTGCTGATCTTGATCTTGATCTGGCTGTTGATCAGGTGGTTGATCTGGGTGCTGACCATTTCGTGCTGTATTATACTATTGCCCCCGAAGGTCTACAACACCTCTCTGTCCAGCTCGCGATCGGGCTGGCCCGCCATCTGAAAACAAGTCGGTGAACGGCATGATCGCCACCTCGTGCTCAGCAGCCTTCCGCGATCAACTTGGTGAGCTCAGAATCGGGATGCCCGGGCGCCGGGCAAGCCCATGCCATTGAGCAAGTAAATTCCTCTTTAGATTGTCCGATCGCCTGAACATCAATAGATCACCTTGCTGGAACGGCCCTGGCTGGGGCCTTGTCCGTGCCAGAACCGCCCGGCTCAACGCAGATGGGTTGGCTGCCTTGAAAGAGGACTCCGGGCATATCTGCTGAATGTGTAGTCGATTCCAGAACGATGTCTTTTCAGCTGCCCTGGAAACTATTGCTGGGTCGCTGTCGGAATTCGCCAGACTCGCAGGTGGTCGATGTCCAGCTCTCAGTGCCCACTGCTGTGGTGAAAAGCCCGCTGTGTTGACTAATTGATTGCGCGCGTTGGCCATGCCTCGTACTGCAACTGCAACTGAACTTGTTTTTTTTTATAATGGGGGGGGTAACGCCCGTTACGGGGGGGGGGGGTCCGGCCCCAAGTGGGGGGTAACGGTAACGCGCGGCGGGGCCCTCGCACGGGCCCTGGTACTTATTACCAGCATAAGTGTCGGCACGGTAGGCTTCGTCGTCGTCGTCGTCGCCGCTGTCGTCGTCGTCGAAGCCGACCGTGCCTATGCACACTACACAGGCTCTGTACACCGCGATGCCTTTGTACATCACAACTGCGGCAGAAATGGTATGTGTGTGCACCACGGTGACTGAGCACATCATGACAGGCGGGTGCACCACAACGCCCTTGTACATCTCACTGTTGGTGCACACCACGGCGCCCGCGTGCACCACAGCTGCTGTTTCAACGCCCCGTGTTTGCATCAGAACGCCAGCGTGCACAACAAAGTTTGTGTACACCTGTAAGGTACCGG